AATCATTGACAGCAACATTCTCAAATCATTCTGAAATTATTGCAATCCATGAAGCAGACGGAGAATGTGTATGGTGAGGAACATGACTCATCATATCCAAACATCATGCTAATTAATTTCAACAAAAGATAGTCCAACAAATTTGTATGAAGATAATGCTGCGTGTATTACACAACTCAAAGGATGTTATATCAAATGTAACAGAACGAAACATATTTCTCCAAAATTCTTTCATATACATGAGTTTCAGAAGAATGACGACATCGAGATTCAACAAATTCGTTCAAGTGACAATGTGGCTGATTTATTTACAATAGCACCGCCAACATCTACATTCAAGAAATTGGTTCACAAAATTGGAATGCATCAACTCAAAGATTTTCAATGGTCTGTTCATCAAATGGAGTAACTGTACTCTTTTTACTTTGCTTAGGTTTTATCCTACTGGGTTTTCTTAACAAGGTTTTAATGAGGTAGCATTTATCTTTAATACTCTAAAATAACTGTATTCTTTTTCCTTCGTTTTGATTTTTTTGTCCCATTAAATTTTTATCAAAAAAATTTTAGCGATGCAGATATTTTGTAATGTGTCATTCAATAGGTAGTGTTGTAAATAGTAAGTTATTAGTGAATGACAATTGTACACATGCAACCCTAGATATTATTACCATATGTATCCATATTCATTCCCTACAAATATAGGACTTTGATTCTCATTATAATACACACAAGTCTATTGACTTCTCTTATTCTCTTCTCTTATTCTCTCTTTTTAAAACAATAAGAGCATTTTCAAGAGACTTTTTATTTTAGCTTCTTGATCATAATAAATAGCATTTTTAAATTTAAAGAGTATAATATTTTGGTGCACTCCAATAAAATCTTTATTTTACATTTTTCAACGTTCATTAATTGTTTTCCTCTCATTTTTCAATTAATATATGTGTGTGTGTCAATGGCTACAATATTCTGCGTAATATTAATAATTTAGGCCTTGTTTGAGAGCGCTTTTAATCAAATTAAAATTGAAAATATAACCGTTATTGGTCCCACTCGTCTAATAAAAGTCAACAATAACGACTATATTTTCAATTTTAATCTGATTTTAATCCCTCCCATACAAGCTCTTAATAGTTAAGCATTAAAAGTTGTAGCGTTATTAAATGCAATCTCGATAAAATAAAATAGAGAGTGAGTTTGACGCCCTTTATCTACTATTTTCAAATGTTAAAATAGATAGTTTTTTGGAGCCTAATTTTAATGTTTGAATTTTTGAAATAAAGAGTATTTCACTTTTAAAAAAGTCTCTTGGAAATCCTCCAAGAGTTTGTGTTAGTCTTCTAAATAAAGTTAATATTTAAAATAGAATCTTAAGTCTTGAATAGTACAATTTCTCATATGACCTAGGAGAGCTTGGGAATGACATTATCCCCAAAGCAAGGATCTTCTTCTTCTTCTTCATCATTCGAAACTATTTGAAAGTACACGCTTTAACATAAGCAATGGTGCTCAGTCGATCATTTTTACGAATTAAATTAATCCGATCAAGTTATCCTACTTGAACTCAACCAAGTATTTCAATAAATAGATGGATAAATAACCTATAAAAATGTGATTATATACTATCGTGACTATGAATAAACCCAACCAACACCCATGTCATCGTTAAGAATGGTAATTCCACCCCCAACCCACCGCTAACTAACCAAAGAGTAATTCCCCGCGCCACAGGCCTCAGGGGCCTTGCTTGTTCAGCAACACGATAAATTAAATTTACAAATAAAATTACCTATAACTTAGTTTGTATTTACTTATAAATAAAAATTTAGTAACAATGAATTCAGTTTTAAGTAAAAAGTTCATTTATAGGAAAAAAATATGTACAAGTAAAAAATTAACATATAAGTAAAATTCACCCATAAGTTAAATAATTTATATTTAAAAATTAATTTATAAGTAAGAAATCACTTATAAGTCAAACTTTTACTTGTAAGTAATAATAAGAAATTTACTTATAATAAAAAAATTACTATAGCCCCTGTTTGATAAAAAATAAAATCAGATTTTTAGTAGATTTTGATAAAAATTGAAGAAATGTGTGGTTGAAAAGTTGTGGATCCCATAAAATATATAGTTAAAATTAATTTTAACGTGAAATTTTAATTGAATTTTAATCCAAACCAAACAAAAGCATAAATGTAAAACATTTTAATGATATGTTGATTATTTTTTTTTATACCCATTTGCCGCCTATGATTCGTCTCTTACAAGTCAAACAGGCAAGGCGCCGCGACGGTGATTACTGTTCAAAAAGAACATGCACATTTATTATAAATGAAGTATATACTGCTGATGCGAATTTCGAAGCCAGCTTGGCTTGATCTGTATCTCTCTCCCCCTTCCTCTTCCAATGTGTTTGTAGTTGTAGCCTACTTGACATTAATTAACTGTTGTGTGCTTCTGTCCCTTTCGTCTTCTTTTTACCTGCATAGCTCTCTCTCTCTCTCTTCCCCACTCTGAATCAGAAGCTCTATTTATTTGGAACTTCCTTTCTTTCCTTCTTTGCGGGCTCAAATTGTTTTCCATAGTGGTAGAACATTTAGCACAAAGCTCCACTTTTGGGCTGATCTCTTGCTGCTCTAAAAGTTAAATGAATTTGAATGCTTGAAATTAGTACTGGGCATCGGACCATGTAATCTACTGTCTTTCCAAATCTTTACATTTTTTTTTTCCAGAAATTCGCATCTTGGCAACCCCTTTTTGTGTATAATGCTGTGCCAGAATATAGCGATGATGTGTACACGTTAATTCTCGTCTTGAACCCTTTGGGATCTTAGAGTTTAATTCAAAAGCGATTGAAGAAATTTAGCACATTGAACTAACTATCAGGATGGAAGAGACATTTGTGCCATTTCGTGGAATCAAGAATGACATAAAAGGAAGGCTACAGTGTTACAAGCAAGATTGGACTGGTGGATTCAGTGCTGGCTTCAGGTAATACCAAAATCTCGTCCTTCGAATCCGATTTATTATTTCGCCATTGATTTAGCATAATCCTTTGATTCACTGTGTTTTCTGAGTGAAACGTTGTACTGATTGTTTTCAGGATATTGGCACCCACCACATATATATTTTTCGCATCTGCTATCCCAGTGATTTCATTTGGGGAGCAACTGGAAAGAAATACAGGTATGAGTTATCACAAACAATAAGCTTAAGATTCTTAACATCTTTAGACTTGCCAAATTTGTTCAATAATGGAATGTGCCAATCATTTAGACTTGTGAGTTTAACTTAATTATAAGAAGGAAAAAATTGAATGTTATAGACCATTAATTTCAGATGGTGTTCTAACGGCGGTTCAAACGTTAGCATCGACTGCAATTTGTGGGATTATACACTCAATAATTGGAGGTCAACCATTACTGATTTTGGGAGTTGCTGAGCCTACTGTGATCATGTACACCTTCATGTTCACCTTTGCTAAACAGAGACCAGAATTGGGACGTGAACTGTTTCTCGCATGGACGGGATGGTTAGCTTTGGGTTTAAGTTTTCGATGTAGATTTTCTTTAATTTTGATCTCTTGAATTAGTGATGATCAATTTACTGTAATGGCCTCTTCTTGCTGTCGAATTCTTTCAGGGTATGCGTGTGGACTGCAATTCTTCTGTTCCTCTTTGCTATTTTAGGAGCTTGCTCCATTATCAACAGGTTTACTCGTGTGGCCGGAGAATTATTTGGAATGCTTATTGCTATGCTTTTCATGCAGCAAGCTATCAGAGTAAGGAAACTGTGGAGTTTGTTTCTCAACTCCTAGTTCTACTTCAACAAATTTAAATGCCGAGATTTTTCTTACCTTTTTCTTTAGAATGCCTATATAGTAAGGATTTTAGTCTTTTAGAATTTGATATTTGACATAGACTTCTGTTATGATCTATACTTAGGGACTTGTGGATGAGTTTCGTATTCCAAAAAGGGAAGATCCAAGTTCAGCGGAGTTTATACCTTCATGGAGATTTGCCAATGGCATGTTTGCAGTGGTTCTCTCATTTGGTCTACTGCTAACAGCCTTAAGAAGCCGAAAAGCAAGGTCATGGCGTTATGGAACCGGTAAGGAAATATGGTCGATATTTATAATACAAGTAGACTCTAACAGAGCTTCTTCTCACCATTGCTTGTACTTAGAACAGATGTACATGTATATTTGCTTATCCTTTTCAATTCTTACTATTTGCAACTGTACGGCATATGGTTCTTCATTCAGGTTGGCTTCGAAGCCTTATAGCAGATTATGGGGTACCGCTCATGGTTCTGGTTTGGACAGCTGTGACTTACATACCCTCTGGAAGTGTTCCAAAAGGGATTCCAAGACGTCTCTTTAGCCCAAACCCGTGGTCACCAGGAGCCTATGAGAACTGGACAGTCATTAAGGCATGTACATTGATTAAATGTACGAGTTAAGTGCTTTATTTTCTGTAAAGAATGAGAACTGAGATGTGAATATGGACTTCAATTGGCAGGACATGCTAAACGTACCCATTCTCTATATACTTGGAGCTTTTATTCCCGCGACAATGATTGCGGTACTTTACTATTTCGACCATAGTGTAGCTTCTCAATTGGCTCAGCAGAAAGAATTCAATTTGAGGAAGCCACCTTCCTTCCATTATGACTTGCTGCTTTTAGGATTTCTGGTATGCTAAGTTCATTTTGTTGCCTTAAACACTTCTACCATTTGATTTCAGAGTTCTCTTATGATATAGTCTTGATTTACCATTTGAACAGACATTAATGTGTGGTCTTGTTGGCATTCCTCCATCAAATGGTGTAATTCCACAGTCCCCAATGCATACAAAAAGTCTAGCTACTCTCAAACACCAGGTAATTTTCCTTCATCGATCATACTCCTTGTCTTTGTCTTTAATTCTTATTATTTACCTTTTTGTGCAGTGGTGCGTTTTCTTTTTTATGGAAGTGTTATTTTTTTATTGATGTTTTCCTACTATATCTGCAGCGTGGCTACATAGGAATCCCATTGTTTTTTCATTTCTTCTGTAAATAGTAACAATAAATTAAAATTTTGAATGCACAGTTGCTTCGGAACCGGCTAGTTGCATCAGCACGGCAGAGTATGAGAAAGAACTCAAGCTTGGGACAATTATATGGAACTATGCAAGAAGCCTATCAACAAATGCAGACTCCTCTGATATACCAGGAAGCATCACAAAGAGTACGTTGCATACTTCATAATTCTGTTACACACTCCAATTTATCTCCAGAGTAATTTATTCACTTTCTGATTCCCATTGGCTTATTCATTTAAATGCTTTAAGAATAACCAAGTCTTTTGCCTTTCACGCATTCATATTTCAATTTGAAGATGAGAAAAGGGAAAGATGAAAAATTGTGGTGAACCTTATTTTTAGGTGATATGAACTGGTAGAGAAAGATTGAATTATTTAATTTTCTTATCTGATTTCCAAACATTTTCAGACACGTGTTTTCGATATTAAAGTCCTTTTTTCACCAGGGACTGAAGGAGTTGAAAGAATCGACCATTGAGTTAGCATCGAGCATGGGTAGCTTTGATGCTCCGGTAGATGAAACAGTTTTTGATGTTGAGAAGGAGATTGATGATTTACTTCCCGTTGAGGTCAAAGAACAGCGTCTCAGCAACTTGCTTCAAGCCATTATGGTGGGAGGATGTGTTGCTGCTATGCCTGTCTTAAGAATGATTCCAACCTCCGTTCTCTGGGGATATTTTGCTTTTATGGCAATTGAAAGCTTACCGGGTAATCAGTTTTGGGAAAGGATATTACTACTTTTCACTGCACCAAGCAGAAGATACAAGTCAGTTCTCCAAAACTTTGTAATTTGATTTTTCCTTGAACGTCGTATCTTTCTTAACTTCCTAAACATCGTCTTCATAATTGCAGAGTATTGGAGGAGTGCCACGCCACCTTTGTGGAGACTGTGCCTTTCAAGGCAATTGTGACATTTACTATATTCCAAACAACTTATTTGCTTCTGTGTTTCGGTATTACATGGGTTCCAATTGCGGGGCTCCTTTTCCCTCTATTTATTATGCTTCTGGTCCCCGTCAGACAATACCTACTGCCCAAATTTTTTAAAGGGGCACACCTTCAGGATTTAGATGCTGCAGATTATGAAGAGGCACCTGGGGTTCCATTCAACCTTCCCACGGTAAAATTTCTTAAAATCTATAATCGAATAATCTAATCAATGTTTTGGTACTTAAAATTTTAATGGATTGTTTATGTAGGAGGAAGAACTGGGAGCAAGAGTTTCCTTTGCAGAGGTTGGAGAGGTTTTAGATGACATGATCACCAGAAGCCGTGGTGAGGTCAAGCATATCTGCAGTCCTAGGGTCTCGAGTTCTTCGACAACCCCAGCAAGAGACATTAAACTCCATCAGAGCCCGCGCTTTTCAGGGAAAGCATACAGTCCGCGCATCAGCAAACTAAGAGGAGAGCAGACTCCCCGGTCTGGTGGAAGAGGGCATTCAAGTCCAAGCACCGGAGAAAAAGGCTCATCTAATTTGGGGACGCCTAGTACTTCAACTTCAAAGTAGTATAAGGAATCAATGCCTTTTAACAATTGGCAAGTTTGAAATAAATTAGTTTGTTTTTGTGGCATTATGTAAAGTCTTCTACTCCTCTTTAAGAAGTAACCTGTAACATAGACATTGTATTGTTTTCTTTAATGATAACTCAAGTAAATTATTCGTCCCCGTTTGTGGTCATGTTCTTGAACATATTATAGCTAATTAATTACAGTTGTCCTTGTTTCTGTCGCTGACTTAACATGTACAACTTGAATGATCTTAATTGGTCAGTTAATTTGTAAGAGTATCAAAAGATTCTAGTAAGAACAAAAGGATCAAAACCTTCCAAGTGCCATGCTGGACTTACAAAACCCCACTTTTATTTAATGTAAATAGATACCACAATATTCCTAGCCGTAAATGATGGTCCCTCCACAGCATCAGGTGATTTTCATTTTTAGGAAGAAGAGGTTACTCTTTAAGAAAGTCGCCGAGAGGGCTTAAAGATTTTTCTGAAGACAAGGGCATGTTTGATACTGCATAATGGACAGTTCAATAGACAAAGATTTCAGTTCCTTTATCCTTAATGCTATGCAGCATCCTCAGTTTCACTTTACCAAACATATAATTAAGATCATTGGTTAGCTTGATATAGTAGGCAACTAACTCGAATTTAGCAAGTAATCAAAGTATATGTGGCTTTTGAGACTTTCTACGGTGAATCAGTAGTTCGTATGAATATCTGAAGCAATAACATCATAAAATTTCTCAGAGCTGAATGAAAAACGAAATGCATGCAGTTGTCCAGATCACAACTGCATATTAAATTGAATCCTGGAAAAAGTTCCCGAATTCAAGTTCTTATCTTGTTGTGACAAACTTGTGATGCGACTTCTTATCTTTGATTACTTAAGATCTCACAAAGCTACTCTCCATTATCTGATGTGATAAGAAAGATTGAAATGCAACCAGAATGACTGAAAACTCCTGAAAAATTCTCAAAATCACGAACCGATTTCAACAATTTCACTGTGAAGGTCCAGAAGGAATGAACATGATTTAGGAATAGTCATTCCACCTAAAAAGCAGAGGTCTGAGAGTACTGATGACACCTAAAAAAATGAATGATGAAAAGGGTTCTAATTATTTTTCCATTTGCTGATATAAAAAAGAGAATGTTGTGGTTTGCTAGCATTGACTTACATAAGTGGGAAAGATATCACGTCCCTTTCTAATAATACCAGTATCTTTGTCCTTTACACCTTTCTAGTTGTAAGTAACTCCAAAAGACTAAAGTTGCTTAATCTGATCAATCAGTAAAAGCTGAGTAGAGATTTGACACACTGGTTGAAGTTGAGAATAAAACAAGGTAGGCCGGTGTATCATCATTCTTGACATTGACTCTTCCTAGCCTGTTTTTCATCACTCAACGATCAACAAACATGTACGTTGAAGTGCTTCTGTGGTGGGTACAGGATACTGAGGCACAAAGTATTGTCTTCAATAACTTCATCCTTCGGTATTAATCTTGTTGATATCGATTTCTCAAGAGTTTTCCACATCAAACACGTGAATGATCTTGCTGGTGATTCCTGTAAAGGATACGATCAATCACATTTTGATGCAAAAGTTTTTGAAAGTATGTGGGAGAGTTCTTAGAATTTCATAAATACGTCGTGTGGTTTTTCTAGAGAGGTCTAGCTCATACGGTCGACATACTTGGCATGGGTTTGCTGCAAATAGAACAATAAAGTAGCCTCAATTAGTGGTGTTAACGAGCCGAGCCAGAGCTTTTTTTGGCCCGAGCGGAGTCGAGCCCGGCCAAAAAAAATTAGGCTCGGCCTGAGCTTTCGGCCCCCGAGCTTTAACGGACCG